ATTCGAGTCCCATGAGGAACTGATGCACTATTTCTTCCTCACATTTCTATTGAAGCATAACTCGAATTTTACAAGTGCATATTCCACACTTGCAAGTTTGTTTAATTTGTCACACAACTTTTTAAGTGCACCAAAATATATTACAAATAGTGGATCCTTTCTACTTGTAATATGTAAGTTCGACCGTCAGTTATTGCACACGCGGGCCATTGACAACTAAAAACCTTTCTTTGATATTCATCCAAATATCATGTGCTACCTCCATGTGATACATGGTGGAACACATCAACAACTCAATGGTATTCATCATCCACGAGACCAACAACGAGTTACTGGTCCACCAGTCTTTAAGATTTGATGAATCTTAATCTGGTTTCTTAATTGTTTCATTTACAAAGCCATATTTCTTTATATATCTCAACATGTTTTGGAGTGAACACGCTTATTCCTCCTAGTTTTCTTCTTTCAATTATATTTGTGTCACCAAACTTCAAAAGGATTGCCATTTGGGTTTATGTTGTATGGACATATGGCCTTTCTTTCCTTCCCTCCACCGACGTTCTTGCCATTTTCTCCATATTCAACAACTTATTTGTTATTGTTTGTGTTTCGATTTCTTCTCTAGCCATAGAAAGAAAAAATGATTTCTCAGATCAGGAATTTCTTTAAGATCATAAAGAAACAAAAAAGGTGAACTGTTTATCTGTTATTGACTCTCAATTACACATTTATACAACAAAAGTTTTATCTATTTTCCTAAAATAACAGTCTAAGCTTATGCTAATTATAATTAATTTACAATACTCACAGTTTTCGTAAAATTCTAATTTATAAAAATCAAATATGATCCTGATATACAGTGAGTCTTGAATGGTCACAAGATCAAACGCATAATGCTTAGGCACACTCACAAAATAAAAAATATAAAAAAATGAAGTCAATTTGTTTTATTATTATTAAAGGAAGTATGAATTTTGTGTGTGTGCTTAAGCACAATGTATTTGGTCTTGTGATCATATAAGACTTTCTCCCTGATATAAACCTTTCTTAAACTATGTACAAATACATTAGATATCCTTTAAAAAAATACTAACATATATTTTAAATATTTATTTATTTAGATCCAACCTCAATATACCTTTTAAATTTTGAACCTTTTTTATCACAATAAAATTTTAAGTATCTTAATGAGAAACACTTTCTTCGTAGTTCCAAATAAAAATCATTTGGGCAGAGATAAAGAACAGAAAAAAATGTTAAATAATATGTATTTGCAAAGAAATTATATATATATATATATATATATATATATATATATATATATATATATATATATATATATATATATATATATATATATATGTGTGTGTGTGTGTGTGTGTGTGTGTGTGTGTGTGTGTGTGTGTGTGTGTGTGTGTGTGTGTTCGCGCGCGCGCGTGTGTGTGCGTGTGTGTGTGTGCGTGCGTGTGTACATGCGTGCATGCGTGCATGCGTGCGTGTGTGCGTCTAAATAATTTTTTATTTTAAACCTTTTTTTCAAAATTATACAAATTGGATTCAAAAGCTCATTAAAATTGAAAAAAAAAATTAAAAGTCAAAATTTTTGTAGAAATATTTATATACTATCCCCAAAAGAATGTTTCATATATCAAGTAGAATTAAAACTAGTTTATAGATGTTCCATTAATTCAACTCAGTTGATAGTTGAATATTACAAGATCAAATTTGAGATATTTTACTTATTCACCTTCAAATGTGAAATTTTAATTATGAAATTATAGCATAACTTTTTTTGGATTATATAGTGTTAAAATTGGATACCATTTTATCCACAGAACTCTAATAATGACACAAATTCCTCTAATAGAAATAATAATGTCACAAGTTGTAATATGAGAACCAAGGTTCTCATTTGGGGTAACCTAAATAAGGCAATCTATGTCATAATTGAACTAAATCAAAAGGGTGTTAATTGTCCTATGTTCTTCTATAGATGCCTTGTCCATGTTGAGACATTGAATCAAGTTTTCAAAAACTAGATTTGATTGATTCAAATTTGGTTTGGCTCAAGCTTATACATTATTTTTTTTTCATAATCCCATTGTGAATATAAGGGATTGGACATGAGATATTATTACTAAGAAAAAGAAAGGAACTATAAATCATATTTTTGCTATTATCACTAGTATATGATGGGCTAAAAATAAATAAACCTATGATGGATACACATTCCCTATTAACATGTCCAAAATACATGCTATAAACATTCACACTCATATCTTCACTAAACATAAAGATGAGTCGAATGAAGGCAACACATATACTATATGAAATCAAAACAACCAAAAATTTTATATAAATAACACTTTCAATCACGACAAGTGAAAAAACCAGAGGTCAAGTGTATCATAACAACATGATCCAAACAACCAGTTGGGATGAAATTATTAACATCATGTTATTGAATGAAGAAAATTATACTATTAATTATAACAACCAAATAACCATTTGTCATGAAATTCGTAACATCATGTTATCTAATAAAGAAAGAGATACAATTGATCGTAGCAACCTAATAACATGATATACATGGAGTGAGAGGAGAAAAAGAAACACTTACAACAATTTACTCAAGCCAGACCATGATTTTATTACTCTACCTGCCAAGTTTTTATCTCAAACCAAGGCCATCCAAAATCATACCAATGCAAATAAAAACAATAAAAACAAAGTGTCACGACGCGAAAAATACCCTAGCGTATCACACGCTCGAAATACAATAAAGTCGCCACCGATCTTTATTTATTCCAAAAAGAAAGTGAAAATATCGAATAAAACCCATGAAAGAAGAGAAATGATCATCACAACCAAGAGCGAGTTTGGGAGTTGGTTATATAAGGGGAAAGTATTATCAACTCTCACATTCGTTGTACTCAGCGGTACCCATTTAATTAGTTTTACAAATGAGTGTTAGCGTGAAAGTTTACGTTCTTCTAATTATTATGTGAGAAAAGAGAAAGAAAGGAGAAATATTTTTGGATTTTTTTATTATCTTGCTCGCCAAGACATCGCATCTTGTGCTTACATATTCCCTCATGCAATGGAAAAGTCAGAGCATCGTAGTTCAGGTAACAAATGTTTGTTGGTTGGTTCGTTTTAATGAGAGATACTCGATCACATTCGAACGAAAACATTGTTGCCCAAAACAGATAATGGAACGTTTGCATCACTTCAAGAATGGATAATTGAATCTGGATATGCATAGACTCTGGCCATCATCACATTCTAGTGGAAAAGGTTTAACATTCACATGTGGAAGGAACGTTGTTTACATCATCACATGAATGGACGAAGTATCCCTCGTTTTGAAAAGGTTTTAAATTAAAAAAAGCCAAGTGACAAAAGGTTTGAATAAATTGAAATAGTTTTTATGTGGGAGACAAGTATTGTACCATAAGTATAGACGATCAACACTCCAATTACTTGGATGAAGGGGATATAATCTTCCCAACCATCTTTTTCATCCCAAAAAGGTTTTTTTTTTATTATAAAAAAAGGTGTGAGGCGAAACAAGGTTTGCTTATTTAAGGTTGTTTGAAGGAAGCCAAATATAGGGGTCGTACGTTTAGGCAACCAACAATCCAAATACTTGAGAAGGAGGAGATATAATCGTCTCAACCATCTTTTCCAAGTTTTATTAAGAAAAAGGTTTTGAAAAAAACTCGGCGTTGGATCGAGGTTTTGAAACTTTATTATGAAAGTGTTTTAAAGTGAATGAGAAAGGTTAAATGCGGTGAAAAAGCATCGACTTACATGATTTGGGGTATAACTTGATGTATGAATCAAGAATGCTTTGGAGTGGTTGATTGTGATGCAAAAACATCGACTTACAAGTTTTGGTTATGGCCTAATATATAGATTGAGAAGGCAGGGGGTTTGATTGAATTTATTAGCACACAATGACAAGATATAAGCAAGCAAGCAAAATAAAAGAAAACGATACAATTATGTTACATCATATAGGAATAAGGGTACACCTTTCAAAGTGGGGATAATGATAAGCAAGTAAAGCACACAGGGCCATGTAAAGTGGCCGTGAAAGCAATAAAATCAAAATTTAATCTACAAGTGCACTAGCAAAGTGGGCTAGTCTTTTAGACGACTAATTAGAAATATTTAGTCGAATAAGTCTCATTATAAGAAAGCCCAAGAAAAACTATAAATGTGTGTAAGTGTGCATGTATTTTTTGTTGAGGGGCCCAAGAGAAAGCCATGTGAGGTCGTTTGCAATGTTTAAAAAGCAATCGACTTATGATATGAAAATGAGCTCACAATCGAATATTATTTCCTTAAAAAATGATTTAGTGCATAGCTAGATGATGATGATCAAATAAAAGCATAAAAACATACAAATCATACAAGTTCACAAGCACACAAATATTTAGATCAGACAAACAAATAAAATTTGATTAAACAAATTAAAAATAATTATTTAACATAATCAATAATTAAATTGACTAAATTAAATATTACCATTTAATTATATTAATCATAACACACAACACAATAAAAAAAATTATATGATAAAATAAACTATAAAAACTATAAAGAAAAATAGAAAGAAAATAATGTAAATTGTAAATAAGTCTGAAATTAGAGTAATTCTAGGGGCGTGAATAGTCTGAATTCCCAAAGGTCAACGTATGACCCGTAATGATCATGTGTGGATGGTCGTGATGATCTATCGTGGGCGCGCAGTTCTGGCCGTTAATTTTTCATGATTAGTTTTGATGATGTGATCAAAGGGGTGAGAGAGAGCATGACCACGGTGAAGAAATGTGGAATCGCGCACGGAATGGACTTGGTGTCACTTGTCACCGTCATCTCAACCACCAACGAATAACGCAAAATAAACTCAGCTCAAAGCATTCTTAACCTGACTTGCCATTCCTCTCTCTCTCTCTCTCTCTCTCTCTCTCTCTCTCTCTCTCGTCTTTCTCTTAATTTCTCAAACAAAAAACCAACCAAACCCAGATTTCGGCGAGGAACCGTGGTGGCTTGCGGCGGAAACCGCCATCTTCTCCGGCGGAAACCCATGATGCATTGTGAACTTTTGCAATTTTTATGTTTTTTCCCTTTGATGTGTAAGCCGTGAGATATCTTGTGAACATTGCAAATTGCTTTTTTCTTCTTCTGAATTTTGGACTTGAAATTGTGTAACTGTGGGCTAACACATGGTTAATCTTGAACATTCCTTTGCTAATTGCACCCTTGTCAAAATACTCTTTGTTTGACTTTGTTGATTCTTGTTGATGTATGCTAACTTTAATTCATTTTGATCCTCTTTTTCATGTGTTGAATGCAATGGTGGTTGGCATGGAGATGAGCCTTTGAAGAAATGGAGAAACTGTGGCTAACATGAAGTTTGGAGATCTTGCACAAATGAGATTCAAAAGGGCCTTGGAGCTTGGAGCTTGGAACTTAGGAGAGTTGACATGAAAAACTCTTGCAACATGTGTAGATTTAGTGATGTTCATAGAAATTTAGGTGTAGAAGACTTGAGATTGTTGTACCTTGAATTCTTATTTGTAACATGATGATGCAATTTGGAAATTGAAAAGTACTTGTAAAAAGTGTAGAATTGATGATGTAGTTTAGGCATAGAAGTTGAATCATGCTTTGTAATGTTGATGACATTTCTTGAAATTAGGCATAGAAAAACTTGAGATGTTCTTGTATCTTTAGTGATGTAGCTTGCAGTTTAGTCCATAGAAAAATGGAATTGTTCCTTTGTTTCAATATAATCCGAAACCTGTTACGTATGAATCAAATTCAAACTTTTCAATCCTTTCTCAAATTATGAATGCTTTTGCTTGAATTTTATGGTGATGATAAAAATTGTTAAATGGTAGATGATAGTGAAATGTGATAATAATGTGATGAATGATGAGTTACAATGTGATGAATGATGATGTATGATGGAACAAGTAAAGAAAGTGTCCATAGCTTTTAATCACAAGCCAAATTAAACTTAAATCAAATTTAAGTTCAACTTCAAATTCTATTCAAAACAAACTCAATTTTGAAACTTAAATCAAATTTAAGTTCAACTTCAAATTCTATTCAAAACAAACTCAATTTTGAAACTTAAATCAAATTTAAGTTCAACTTCAAATTCTATTCAAAACAAACTCAATTTTGATTTAAAACATGATATAACAAATTGGTTGCAATGTGAAGCTAGAATTCAAACTTATTTTGGTTCAAATTGAATGGAAATGAAAAAAATGATAAAAGGAAAACATGATAAAGTAATTCATACTAGGATGACAATTAAATTCTGTTCTGGACTGGGCCCGACAGGCCCAAAAGCATTGCTAAGGCCCAGTTCAAATGGACTTACCAAGGGCCACGCCGACCAAAGAGTCACGACCGTGCCCGACGGGCAGTCGCATGCTCGACAGCTACACCTCCAGCTCGACATGCTGCGGTCCAGCTCCACATCCTGAGGTCCAGCTCGACGTTACCTCGAGCACCCCAACTAGGGCAGACTCAGTTCACTGTTCCCCCAACGATATCCCGAAAAGACCGCGTCTCCGTCCGCCCGCACTTCACGCAGAACATCCAGGAAGGGGACCACGTGCGGGTCCCCACTACGCACGTAGAACCTGGCAGTTCCTCCATTGGGCCAAACCTGCCCGGCCCAATGAAGGAACCTTGGCCCAGCGCTGGGGGCTATACATACCCTCTGTTTCCAGAGGGTCAGGTATTCATCGTTCTAACCATACACTTGCTATTATCTGCTCGTACTCCTACTTACTTCAGCATCGGAGTGCCTTGCAGGTACCCCCCCACCTCGTTCAAAAAGCTTTCTGCTCGGAGCCAGCCGTGACGGTCCATTTCTGATCAGGTCAGATCAGTGGCGCCGTCTGTGGGAAACTAGCTTCCCCGTCTAACGAACAACTCTAAAGACCAAAGCTCAATTCAACTACCTGTCATGGCTGATCCAGCTCGCGACGAACAGCACGTCCGTGTCGCCGACACTAATAACGGCACCGCGGACAAGAATGGACACCTCGATAACCCCGGTGATCCCGGCCACAGTACCATTCCTGTGACGACCGCCCCTGGAACTTCGTCCTACAGGGACGGGGCTACTGCATCATCCTCCCCGATCCTACCACCACTTGAAGACGACCCGGTAGGTCTCGCTCATTACAGAGCTGCCCGGTTCCACGAAGTCCCAGTCCCCGCCGGGGCAGATGCCACGACTCAGGCACTGTTCGCGGCCATTAATCAGACGAACTATCTCATCTTCGCCCAAGGAGAAAGACTAAGGGAACTTGAAGATGACCGACGACCCCCGAGGAGGCATCGAAGGCCACATTCTCCACCTCCTCGGGTCACAGAAGTTCGACACCCTTCTCCCCCGCGGAGACACTACAGGGAGAACTCCAGGAGCCCCTCTCCCCGGCCAAAGCAGAGGCGGCCCTACTATGAGAGACAACCCGCCATCCCTGCCGGAGAACCCAGTCGCGACCCGTCAAGGCACGACAAGAGGCACGCCAGGGACGGGCGTGTGACATTCAACCACCGAGCATCACGCTCGAGGGAAACTCAGCACGACCATCGTGCCAGACAAAACTACAGGTCCCCATCTCTTTCTCCGGAGAGGAGGGACGAGGACGACCCCCGCGGTCCCCTATCGCAGGCCATCATGGATGCACCCATCCCCCCGGGCATGGAGAAGCCCCCACATCTGAAGGAGTATGACGGAGTTGCGGACCCGGTCGACCACATTGACGGGTTCGAAGCCATGCTCCACTATCATAATGTCGGGGGACCCATCAAGTGCCGTCTTTTCCCCACGACTCTCAGGAAGGCGGCCATGGATTGGTATAAAGGACTCGCCCCGGGCTCAATCACGTCGTGGCGGAACCTGAAGAACCAGTTCATCAGTTCCTTCACAGCTTCTCGGCGCCATCCGAAGACCGAGGCGGCCCTCGAGGCCATCATCCAAAGACAGGATGAAACCTTGAGGGAGTTCATCAACCGCTTCAACCGAGAAGCAATACAGGTCCCCTGCGCGGACCATATGAAAAGATACTTGCTGGAGAGGGGTCTCCTCCCCGGCACAGAATTCAGAAAGGCTGTGGATATTGAGCCACCTCCGACTTTTGATGCCCTCCTCGATAAGGCCCGAGCATATATGGACTACGAGGAGAGGGAAGCTGCCAACAGGGCCCGAGACTCGAGGGCTCGGGGTCCAAACAACAGCAGCAGCTCACGACAAGAGGCTCCTCCCCGACGTACGGGGGAGAAAAGGAAAGAAGACCGACCCCGGGAAGTCCGGGAGCAAAGGGGCCCCTCGGGCCGTTTCACCGAGTACACTCCGCTCACAGCTTCCCGCGAGCGTATCCTGGCGGAGTGTGCCAGTACAGACTTCAAGGACGGCGGCGTCAAGCGTCCCTGGCCTGCTCCCGCCAAGCCAGGGGCAGATAAAAATAAATACTGTCAGTACCATAGGAGTCATGGCCATTTGACAGAGGACTGCGTCCACCTCAAGGACGCCATCGAAACCCTCATCAAAGGAGGGAGGCTCGCACAGTACAGGCGAAACGACGCTCCTCGTCGTGACGCCCATGAAACCAAGGAGCCCGAAGAAGACGCCCGACCATCAGACGAGTCGGTGCCTATCCAGACCGCCTTCTCGGTAACCAGGCTCGAGGATTTCGACATTCCCGAGCTCCTGCAGGAGCCGCTGACAACGCACAGCAGGTGGGAATACTTTCCCTCTGCCATGGTCATCAACGGGGGCGGGTTCAACGACCTCACCATCAATTCAGCTAAGAGGAAGTTGGACGAGCTGGTCGACATAGCTCCCCCGCAAACTGTAAAGTTCGAAGGGGTGAAGGGCAGGTCAGAGCCCATCACCTTCTACCTAGAAGAACTCCTCGGCGGAGCCCCGAACGCGGTCATCCCCTTACTGATAAGGGCAAAAATGGCCAATTTTGACGTGCATCGCATCCTGGTCGACGAAGGGAGTTCCGTCGACGTGATGTACAACCAGCTGTTCCGGACCTTACAACTGGACGACTCACATCTCTCTCCGTATGTGGGGTCGGATCTACAAGGCTTCAACGGCTCGACTTCCAAACCTTGGGGTTATGTCGAGCTCCTGGTTACGTTCGGCGAAGGAACGACTACGAGACAGGTTAAGGTCCGCTTCCTCGTCATTGACTGCCCGTCTCTATACAATTGCATCTTGGGGAGACCGACACTGGCGGAGCTGACGGCGGTGCCCTCGACCTTCCATCTGAAGATGAAGTTCTACACCAAAAGGGCACGGGTAGCCACCATCCAAGGAGACCTAGCCGCTGCCCGTGGGTGCTTCAATGCTGCTTCTAAGGGACGGGATACCGTCGACGTAGGGACCAGACCCGCCAAAAGGACAAAACAGGAGCCCGACAGGAAAGCATCCCCCGAGGAAGAAGTCCAGAAGGCCCCACCAAAGGTCGACTCCATAGCCCTCGACGCTCACTTCGATCAGGACGAGCCATCCAGCAGCGAGCAAATCCCACTCCGACCAATTCCGGACGGGGATTTTGAACTTGTTCCCCTCGGCACAGACCCGACCAAGGGAGTGAAGATTGGTAAAGACCTCCCCGACTTGGCCAGGAAGCAAATCAAGGCATGTCTGCGCGAGAATGCTGATCTCTTCGCCTGGAGCGCTGCGGAGATGCCCGGACTCGACCCTGAGGTCGCCTGTCACCACCTCGCCATTGATCCAGCCACCAAGGCCGTAGTACAACGTAGGCGTAGGCAGTCTCCAGAAAAAACGGAGGCTGCTGAAAAAGCTGTAAAAGACCTCCTAGAGGCAAATTTTATTTCTGAAGCCCGGTATTCCACCTGGCTGTCAAATGTTGTACTTGTGAAAAAGAATAATGGAAAATGGAGAATGTGTGTTGACTATACCGATCTCAACCGGGCTTGCCCGAAAGATGCTTTTCCCTTACCTAACATAGACATGCTAGTCGACAACTCGGCCGGCTACAAAACTTTGTCGTTCATGGACGCCTACTCGGGATATAACCAAATCCCAATGGCTCTGGGCGACAAACACTGCACGACATTCATGACCAGCTCGGGCAACTATTACTACAACGTAATGCCCTTCGGACTGAAAAACGCCGGGGCAACTTACCAACGCATGATGAACAGAGTTTTCAACAAACAGATCGGCGACATGCTC